TAATAATAATAATAAAACAAATTAATAATAATAATAATAATAATAATAATAATAATAATAATAATAATAATAATAATAATAATAATAATAATAATAACCATATACCTTGTGACCAGAAAAAAGTTCGTTCAAAAGAACTCTGATAAAATCGTTATGAATAAATACAAGCAACAAAGTTTGCTGAAACGTCAAACCGGATTTATTATGTTATAATTACAATACATTATAACAACTGAAAAGAAATTTTCAGAAGACTCGATTTTCAAGTGAGGCATATTCTGACTCGCTGAGTGAAATAGACAGTCAAGTGTTGACACTATTAGGGTAAAACTCTGTCGGGCCTCCGTATTGTCTTCTCTCGTCTTGAATACTCTCGAAGGTTTTCGTATGTAATTTGTCCCTCTTGTGCTATTAAAGGTAAAAGTCCAATGGACTCAGATCCGAGCAGCTTGGGGTTCAGTTTTGCTCAATCCTACTACTGACTGACATGTTACCTAAATGGTTGGTGATCCTGCGATTAACAGCTCCTGATGCAATGACGTGCAGCCCCATCTTGCTGAAAGTGCCATTCTTCTCCCTTTCACCCCCCCCCCCCCTTTCAAATAATTTTTAAAAAACAGTCTCAAGCTTTTCAAATATTTTTGAGGCATTTGTAATATTTCACTGGGACGGGATGCTGATGTTATTTGAGAAGACAAAAGGTCCGATGATGCACCAATAACACATTACTGCCCACACCGTAACCTTCTGATCATACATGTCATTCTTGTAAAATTTGTCGGGCTTTGTTGATCCCAAAAACAGTTTTATGCTATTCAAATAGCCGTCGGTATAGAGTTACGCCTCGTCAGAGAACTGCAGCCGTTGATTAAAAGTTCTAACCTGATTAAGCTGGTAGAGGAACATACGATATAAATCCATTCTGCTTCCACTTCAGTGAGTCGTTAATGAACTTGAATTTTGAACGTCTTTAGTCCCAAATCCTTGTCCAATATTATTTGTCTCAAAGATTCCATGGGAATCCAAAACTCAAGACTACGGCACCGTATTGGTTTCTGTGATGCTTGGGTCCCGGTATTACCTTCCTTTAAAAAATGTGTTGTTTCACAGGCTGCCCATTGTTTGCTATTCGTAAATTGGATCCAAGCGTTTATTTTATGTGGACCCAGACCTTTGAAAGGTTGCAGCACATTTCAGTATGGACCTTTTGCTCGGAACTTCATGTTTATCACGGATATCTGTCCCGTATTCTCTCGCAAAGAATGTACAGAACGAAAAGGAAATTCCGTGCTGTTATACATTTTTACAACAAAAGCACGATAAAGAGGGGCCAACTGCAATTATGCAACAGCAATGAAGATATACAGAACGTAATCCGGGTGGATTTTCTAGCTGTCGGTCAGTTTTGGTGTCAACTGGATCATAAACAAGAAAATTACTAACACTTTTCAGTGACTAGATAAAATAAAGGTATAATTAATTTGAAGAAAGCTTTTATAAAATCTAAGTTCACATGGATATTATTGACAAGGTGAAAATATAATAACTTCTGTACCATCCGCGCAAATGTCAAGTTGGTAGCTAAAAGATATCAGTGGTATCTCCTTTTCACTCTGGTTTTCTGTCTTTCTTGCATACCCCTAGCACTAAATGACTGTCATTTTGTCGATAATATGCTTCTCCTTTCTCAAACAAACTAAAAGATACATGTCAAGCAACTCATTAGCCTCTAAGGATGGTAAAAATAACATTCGGAGACAACATTACTTATTTTGAACACTCATATTGATTTCCAATTTTCCTTTGGTTTTCTAAAGGAGAATCTTTGGTGAAGATAGTGGAATCTCTTTACTTTATGAAAATGAGTTATCGTGATGGGGGTGGTCTTAAAACAGAAATACAGGATTATTTGTTCAAACAGCCAGTTTTATATTATGAAATCAATGCACTTTTTATGGAAGGCTTAACTAAGACACATATTCTTCTATCTCCACCGAAGAGCATAGTGCAAACATGTACATTCTCAGTCAATTATGAAAATATAAGAAAGTTTGTGACTTCATTGAATAAGATCACATTTAAAAAATCATCATATCGATAGTCTTATGAATTATAGCATGATATATGTGAACAACAATATAATAATATTACACGTGCAATAAATCATTCAAAGAAGCACCATTTAACACAACAAGCAACATAACATTAACAGCGTACACATAGATAAAATATGCGCAATCAGTATTCAAAACTGCGAGACTTATGGATCATCACATTTTTCTGTATTGTTTCAGTCATATTGTACGGTAGATTTTAGCGTTTCGCTTTTTTATACTTTTGATTTTATGACTTTTCGATTAAATAATTAAATCTTTTTTGATATGTGGGTAGTTCGTAGGTGCCACCAGCAGGCCACACTCTTACTCTTTCTCTGCACTAACTGTTATTGCGTTGATGTGTTTCTCTGCGGTGCTAAGCAGTGATTTCCGCCATAGAAGCTCCATAATAAACGTTTATCGTCTTTTCAAAAGATAATCGTGGGACATCAAAGGAGTCAACCTGGCAATTATTGGACCTTCTAAGAACAGAATCTCTGCTTCAAAAAAAGTTTTTTTTCCTAAAATTTAACTCATATTGGCTTAAAGCAGGCAGGGATAAACCACGGCCCAAGGGCAAAATTCGGCTTACAGTTAATTTCAATCTGGCCCGCACGTCGACCCAGTAAGTAATACTGTTTGTGGTCTGCTGTGAGTTTATAATAAATAAAAACAAAACTGTCCAATTGACAACGAAAATCAATAGTTTCCAGCCCAGCTGGAAGCAAAAACAATAACAACAACAACAACAACAACAGCAATAATGAAAATAATAATAATAATAATAATAATAATAATAATAATAATAATAATAATAATAACAACAACAATATAATAATAACAATAATAATAATAATAATAATAATAATAATAATAATAATAATAATAATAATAATAATAATAATAATTTTCTTGCTAAAGGCTTACAACTGGTTAGACATTTGAATTAACAAACAGAGAATATGAACATAGCGTGATATTGAACTATACAGAAATCACGACAGGTGTGCATCAGCAACCCAATGACAAAAAAAAAAAAAGGTGTACGTCCAGGCAAAATGGAAACTTCTTCTTGATGTAGAAGCAAACTTCAGGTCAAGTAAATTCAGAATTAACTTTACCTAGTAAGTTCATTCCGATATAATAACTCTTGGCACATCGCCGGGCCGCTAGTACACATTTCCTAAAGAACCAAGAAACATCATCAGAGCCCAACACAGATTCGAACTCCAAACTTCCGAGAAGGAGATCAAGCTGGTATTTACAGCTCTGAAGAGATCCAGTGTAATGTTTATGCTTTGAGTGGGTGGTTGGTGAGCGCCAGTGATAGGTTCTTTTCATTACCGTTAATGTTTCTATGTAATTGTATATGTTTTACGCGCCCACCAACACAATCTAGGCGGACGGGCTTAGAGGGATTCAATGTTCGATCAGACAGACTGAGTTACTAAATTTGGAAAAGTCCTACCAAAAAGGGAATTGAGCTCATGTCTGGTGTTTGTGTTAATAATGTCGAAGCACGGAACGGCTACACTACAGACGTCGGTCAGTTTTATCATCTGGCATACGTTTTGTATTCACGAAAAAGATTTGCACAAAGAGATGAAGATTCAGCATTAGGAAGAAGAATTGCTTCTTTTCTCTCTTACTTTGTCCATCGCTTTTAAAGAGAACTTATAGACAAGTCTTCGTCCTTCAACACGCTCCAGGATACCGCGTTTGTAGTAGTGCCTGTTGGGTAAAAAAAGGATAGATTGTCATTACTTTTGAAATGTCTGTCTGCGTGCTTATAAATGTGTATGTTACTGTTATTAACACTCTTTCCTCTTGGCTCTCTTCGGATATCTTCCAGTACAATTCTGTTTCACTTTATCTGTTTCTATCTGTTTCTGTTTCTATCTGTGTCTCTGTTTCTATCTATTTCTCTTTCTCTCTCTCTCTCTCTCTCTCTCTCTCTCTCTCTCTCTCTCTCTCTCTCTCTCTCTCTCTCTCTCTCTCTCTCTCTCTCTCTCTCTCTCTCTCTCTCTCTCTCTCTCTCTCTCTCTCTCTCTCCCCTCTCTCTCGCTCTAACTCTCTCTCTCTCTCTTTCTCTCTCCTTTTTTCTCGTTCTGCTGTTCTGTCTCTATCAAACACTTCTTTCTATAAACATGTACATATACATAATATTATATATAATATAATAATATATATATATAAAATAAAAAATAGAGAGAGAGAGAGAGAGAGAGAGGGGGGGGGGAGAGAGAGAGAGAGAGAGAGAGAGAGAGAGAGACAGACAGACAGACAGACAGACAGACAGACAGACAGACAGACAGACAGACAGACAGACAGACAGACAGACAGACAGACAGACAGACAGACAGACAGACAGACAGAAACAGAAAAACGGAAACAGAGAAAAGCACTGGAATATATCTAAAGAGAGACAAGAGGAAAGAGTGTGCATGTATAAACATAAAATATACCCCCCCCCCCCCCCACACACACGTATATAACATAAAACATCGAACTGTGAACTCTTCCCTGACCATTGCAGCAGTTTTCTTAACTCGCGAATTTGCGAGACAGACTGAATTTTAATATGTGTGGTCACAAAGTAATGGTGAGTAACGACCAAGGCGAGAGATCTCAGTCAGAGATGAAAAGCTATACATTTAAGGGGAGGGGCAACTAAATAAGTGTAGATCTTGAGACTTACAATGGGGTTATAAATGAAAAAAGCATGGTTGACCACTCTTGGCTCGTTATATGTTATAAACCCACACAGGGGTGACTTCAGTTCATTTTAGAGTAAAGGGAAATCATTTAATCAGTTGTGGACCTATACATGGGTCATCGTTGATTGTTCCCTTTGTGCGCCGGCTAAGATCCCGGTCGTCTAAGACCCGCTTTTACCTTGCTCCCGAGCACCAGGATCTTAGGTGGAGAATATGAAATATATATAATATCTCTCTTTATTCATAATGTTATGTATATTATACATAAGTATAGGCCAGGGGGGGGGGGGGGGGGCTCTCGTTCAAAGGTTCCTGGTTCGAATCCGGGTAAAGATGGAAACATTTTCTTCTGTAAAATTTTCCCCTTTCCCCTCTCTAGCAATGTTCTGTCGTCTGTTTTCGTCTCCACCTTCTTCCCGGACCCATCACCTCCTTTGCCCCCCCCCCTTTTCCTCTGGGCTCCTGACTCTTTCTACAGCCTTTCTTCTGCTTCTACTTGGCTCAGTCTTACTGCTGTCTTTCAGCCACAGCCCAGATCTTCTGGTACGAAAGATCTACACCTAGCTTTCTCGGACAAAGGCGAAAAATCTCGGAGGTCCCGTGTGTAAGTTGCCCACGTTAAAGATCTCTTGGTGGTTTAAAATCGATAAGAGAAGGCTTCGGCCGCCAACCGGGCAAAAATTCAAAAATTCCTACCAAATGAAAATGTTTCCCGCGCGATATATTTAATATATATCTTTCTCTCATTTTCTCTCTCTCTCTCTCTCTCTCTCTCTCTCTCTCTCTCTCTCTCTCTCTCTCTCTCTCTCTCTCTCTCTCTCTCTTCCCCTGTCCGAGGATAAGGGGGGTATACGCCCAAGAAAGGGCATACTCTTGTAAAGCGCATATATAGTTTCCACTACTTGAGATCTATAGATTTGTCATAGTTTATGACTACCTCTCACCTCATTGCCCGACTGAGTTTCTCATACGTCATGTTTTCATTATTCTTTCTGCTCCCCCACAGCTGTGCAACAGCCTCGGACTGCATGAACCTAAACACCCCGTCTCTCTGGTTCTCCCAGCGCAGATACTGCGGGTTGTACAGCGGGTTCATCAACGTCTCGTAGATAAACTCCCACAAGTGCTGGCTTTTTACTGCGAACAGAAATGGCGTAAAATCAGCTCGGCAGGGTGAACATTTGTCTTTACTGCGAACTGAAATGGCGTAAAATCAGCTCGGCAGGGTGAACATTTGTCTTTACTGAGAACTGAAATGGCGTAAAGTCAGCTCGGCAGGGTGAACATTTGTCTTTACTGAGAACAGAAATGGCGTACAATCAGCTCGGCAGGGTGAACTTTTGTCTTTACTGCGAACAGAAATGGTGCTTAAATAGATCGAGGGGAGGGTGTTGGGTTTTTTTTAAATTGAGAGCAAAAGGATAACTATAAAATTCTTATCCTTGACTGAGGCTGTAGTTTTTTTTTCTTCTCAGAAAGAAGGTTTTGAAAACACCGAAGAGATTTACCAGTCGTAAAGCTAAAACAGTAATAAACAAAGAGTATTTAACCCCTTCACTGCTGAAAAATTTCCATCAACATCTGTACCGACATGATAAAATGTTAATTCTTGGAATATTTTAACACAGAGAATTGTTTCAGAATAAGCAAAAACCACAAACGGTAACTATACCAACTAAAACTTCTTTTGTCAACCAGATTAAACAATATGAGAATACAAGCCAGAACACATGTCTACTCAGCAGTGAAGAGGTTAAAATGAAATTTCAACTTTTGCTCAATATAGTCTTTTAAAAATCCCATTTTTATGTGTAAAAATTGCTTATTTGGATGTTGGGCTAATATAATAAAGGTGTGCATGAAATTGGGGGGGGGGGTCTAGTGATGGGTGTACAATAAAACAGAGATGAGAGGAGAGACAGAAAGTCACAGATACAGATAGATAGAGAGAAACAGTGGGGAGAGGAAACATCTGGCAATGTTTGTCAAAATACCTTTCTTCTCCTTAGCCGTCCTTCCTTCTTCCAAAATTCCTTTCACCCTTGGTCTCCCTGGGCGTCTCCGCGGCAGCTGCGCTGGATAGGACGGAGGGTGGAACCCACTAGTGGCATGATGGATTGGCATGGATTGTGGATATTGGACTGGATACATTCCATAGTCGTTCTGGTATTGTTCTGAAGTTGCAAAGGAAAGGACATCATTTGGACAAGATACCACGTTTCCAAAAAGGGTACATAACTATAACATTGACTTTGTAAAAAGTATAGTTTATTTTCTTATTTCCCTTGCATACATAGAAACGTTTTCCGACTCCTGCACTGGGATCACTGACATTGATGGTTAAAAACTTCACCTTCCTCAGGAGACGTCAACCTGCTCTGTTTGTAGTCATGGAGAATTAGATTTCCAAGAATAAAAACAAAAGAACGGAAAACAAGCAAAACACAAAAAAAACAAAAAAACAAAACAAAACAAAACAGGGAAAAAAGCAAATATAAGACAAAAAAACCACATTTAATTTTTAAAAAGCAACAATAACACCTTCACTACCACCAACAACATTAACACTACCACCATCATTATCAACAATAACCCCACCACCACCATCATCACAACTACTACCACTACCACGACCCCCCATTAACAACAACAAAAACAGCATCGGAACTACCACCACCACCACCACC